CATCGGTGGATCGTTCCACGTCAGGACAAGGGGAAAGGGCTTATGGGTTCTTCTTCGAGTTCGGATAAAATTCCGAAGATTAAATTTCGGTATGGCGGGCAAGGCGCGACTGAAGCCGAGGCGGAAGCGGAACGCATTCGTATGACTGCATCTCATCGTCGTAGGAGAGTTATGGAGCGCGACACTGGTTTACCGGTCGTGGACGAGATTCCCCACATAGATCAGAGTTCTAGATCTATGGCGGGTAGCATTCGATCTGTAGGGGCAGATTCTGGTATCCCCTACGAGGGACACGAGGAGGAGCATGACCATGTTGAGAGCGATTATGATGATGTTCCCGTCCCGGCCGCGCGCGCACGGAAGTCTCGGTACGAGTTTGACACTTTCAGTGGCCCACTTGAGTTACATGGTCCGGCTCCAGGAGGACCGACTGATTGGAGGATGATTCCTAGTTTTAAGAGTCATATTGCCTACTACATTTGGGCAGGACATGTAAGTTTAAATATATTTATTTTTATATATTTTAAATATATTTATTTTAATATATTTTGTCTGATTAAATTAGAAATTCTACAGGAGCGCAGCGTGGGGCGATGTGAGTCAAGGATTACTGCGCTTAATGCTTTTAGGAAACATGAGTTGAAGCAACTCATGGCTCCTTACGGGCAGGATGAGTTAGAGCTACTGGAGGCATCTGGCCTAGACTCACTCGAGTACTTCTACATTAAAAATGTAGACAAGGGACTCATGGGGGCATTTATAGAGAGGTGGCAGCCGGAAACGAACAGTTTCCACATGCCTTGGGGTGAGATGACGATCACCCTACATGATGTCCATTTGATTTTGGGGTTGCGTGTTGACGGTTTAGCGGTGCACGGTGATTCTGTTGAGGAGAGGCCTATGAGTGAGTTGTTGCTAGCTGAGGTTCTTGATTTGGACATGGTCGAGGCGCATGCCAAGCTCGGCAATAGTGGGATAAAATGGTCGGAGTTTGTGGAGCGTGTGCGTAGTCGGTCCCGAACTTGTCGGCAGAAGGTTGTAGGATATTTGACGTTTTTGATCGGTATGGCTTTGTTCCCCGACCGGAGTGTAGACAGGTTCAAGCCAACGTGGATGAGATATTCTTCCGATCTCGAGCACGTCGGCGAGTATGCTTGGGGTGCAGCTGTCTTGGCTCATTTATACCGACAGTTGGGCTTGGCTAGTAGGGCCCACGTGAAGGGGTTAGCGGGTTGCACGTTACTGCTCCAGGTATTTAAGTTAAATTTTACTATAATATATTATTATAATTAGTATAACGTAGGTAGTATTAATGTAATATAATATATTGTGATTTAAGATAATATTAATCTAATATAGTCTCGTTTATTTGTAGTGCTGGATTTACGAGTACTTTCGCCCTTTCCGAGCACCTATTAATTCGGATTATAGGGAGATGCAGCCTCGTTTCCTGAAATGGAAACCACGCAAGGGTATTTCGGACTTGCTCTCGGTCCGAAGGATGCTTGATGATATGCAGGCCGATCAGGTATGTATTTTAATTGTTGAAGTTATTTATTATTAATTATTATGTAAATGTAATTTTTATTACGTTAATATAATTTTCCAGATTGACTGGATGCCTTACGGGCCGCACGTACATGGAGATGCCACCACCGCGTCGGCGACCGGGTGGGACGAGTGGCACTTCGAGGAGGTCTAGGGGTAGACAGTAGACGGCTTTTGTTTGACATTTATTTGTTTTTTCTGACATTTGGGTATGTTTTGTATTTGTTTGACATTTATTTGTTTTTGTTTGACTATTTTATTTATGGTATTTCCATCTAAAATAATACAAGGTCCAAAATACATACCAACTAAAATAAAATAATACAAGGTCCAAATACATACCAACTAAAATAAAATAATACAAGGTCCAAAATACATACCAACTAAAATAAAATAATACAAGGTCCAAATACATACCAACTAAAATAAAATAATACAAGGTCCAAATACATACCAACTAAAATAAAATAATACAAGGACGGCTCTAACATGTCGCCACTGTGGAGTGATAGGTGGTAGAGGACAATTAACCGGTAACTGGATAAGGACAAAATGGTCTCCTAACAACACCATATGGATCATATGGGATAATTCACCCGGACCAACTAGAGGTAAGTAGGTTATATTTCCGCCAATGGCGTATAAAACCAGAGCCGCATTGTATTTAGTCGCTATCGACATTCCCATATCCGGAAATGACATCCATTTGTCCCGACTGCACGGTCCTTCTTGCCAATCGCATTTTTCTATCCATCGGATGACTTCATCTTGACCATTTTGCGATGCGTACGTACCAAAATGCTCGTACATATCGGCAATCAAATCTCTCCTTACACGACTCCATCTGTTCTGATCTCGGAACACTGCTTCTGCAACACATCTGTACCCACAATTTCCATCTGCTACAACATTAACATACGACACAATAGATCCTGCCACAAAACCTGGGATGTAAGATCTGAAATTGAGCTCATCGCCCGGTTCCTTTCGAGGCATTGGCGTACGATTCTGATTGGCAGTGGATTCATCACTTGATCTACCACTCCCTCGACCCCGCCCCCGTCCACGACCAGAACCGGGATCGGTTACATTCGATGGTGGGGTTCCGGTAGAAGTATTTTTTCGACCCTTAGAACCTGCAGACGATTTACCCTTTTCTTCACCAGTAGACGGCTTCCGCTGGAATGGTGGGAACTCCCAACCGGATTTATCTCTCTTCGTCGGTTTATCCTTTGGCCTTCCTTTCGGTATAACATATGCAGGCTCTGCCAAATGGGTGGTGTCTGGATGAATAGTGCTATTCATGTAATCAGCAGTCATCTTTTGAGTCATATAATCTTTTTCTAACACTTCCGTGGCTAGTCTGATTATTCGGTCTCTCATATTTGTTTCACGATCCATCTGTGCTTCGGGTATTTCTGGTTCTTCAACGTGCATGGTACTCCAAAATGGATGTAGATCCATACATATAAATGTATCACGTTGCTGGATTTTCAACGCAATTCGGCATGCACAAGGAAGTGCATGGGTATCCCACAAAACGTGATCACAAAGAGATGGGTCTTCAAACCCCGGTTTTTTGAGCTCATCATCAAGCAAATTTAATGCTTTATGTGTGACTTTGCATATCAAACCCTGAAATACCGGATACGATGATGAGTGCAATCGGATTAAACTGCATTTTGAAAACTCACCCTTGATCTTGGTTAGTTGATACTCAACCCCGGAGTCGAGCTGATATTGAATGGTGTTCACACCACCGGTAGAAGCATTAATCCAACCCTTCGACGATTTATGAGCACTTTCCACCCTGTTAATAGCCATTAAAATAACAACTAATAAATAAAAACGCCCACAATATAATATAAAATACAAGACGATAATGAAACCCAACATACCTAGATGTCGACGTGTTCCCAAAATGCAAAATCTTATTAGTCCATGCTTTGACGAATTTGTGCTTGTAAATTAGCCAAGTATCGTCAAGGTATGATATCAATTTGGGATAACAACCATAGCGTCTAACCATATCCTCGTAATTATCATTGTAATCTTCTTCTGTTTTTGATTCCACTAATTTTGCCCACTGTATGCGCCGAAATATAAGCCCGTGTTTAGTACTACCAATAAATCTCGATGCATTTTTTTCCACGTTTCTATTGATGTGAAACAAACACAAGAAATGAGCGGAATCTGGAAATATTAGAGGCATTGCTTTGATAAGTCCCAATTCACGATCCGTCAATATCACATTAGGTACCAGCCCCCCTAAAGCACATTTCAAACAACGCAAAGCCCATTCGTATGTGTTTGCATCTTCATGTGACATGAAAGCAACAGCAATTGTAAAATTCTTACCAACAGGAGTGATTCCAATTATTTCCAAAAGTGGCATCTCATACCTACGTAAATACATAAATATCAAATGCAATCACCATATGTAAAATAGCACAATAATAAATACTAATTAACAACATACCTATTGGTTTTGTAAGTGCAGTCCATCAATATAACGTGAGAGAATAACCGCAAAAGTTTCAACGAAATAGGAGCAGCGAACATCAAATCAGTAAGTGTATCATCACCTTCATTACTTCGATACCAATATTCATATCCAGAATCTTGAAGGTTCGACATCACGTGTTGTATCACAGTCTTCCCCGCCATATTCTCTTTTTTCATCTTCTCAAGTTGGTTGTAGACATGTTTCACGCTCGTTGATGTCTGTGGATTATCCTTTCTCAATCGATCCATAATTAATGCCGGCTTCACGTGACTCCTTCTAAGTAACTTCACTACCTCGTATTCTTCTGGTGTCAAACGACTATCCGGTCCTTGTCCGGTAGGATACGGTAGTATCGGGTGAGTGTGAATGCCACTTTTTAAATTCATTCGCCATAGTCCATCGTTTGAACTTTTGCTACAGTATATACGAAAAGGACATCCACATTTTTTTGTTCCCACATTCCGTGGTATCGCACCTACGGTTCGTTTTTCACGTCCCTCCCCAGACAAATGACATCTAATTACTACATACACGTTTTTCTTGCTTGAAGTTACTATCAATCGATAACCATGAGTAGCACCCATTTTTTTTGCCCATTCCACTAATTCTTTCCCAGTTTCAAACTCAACACCTACATTGAAATGTTGACTCTGATCCTCAGAAGTTGTTGGTGTGTCTTGAGGAACATCGAAACACATGTTGGGATCCTCGTACTCGTTGTACGCTTTGTCACGGTCAGTTGTAAACTCATCGTCAAAATCACCTTCAGTACCCTATTAAGATATAACAAGTAATAATTAGTATATAAATAACAATATTAAAAAAAAAAAAAAAAAAAAATTTAGGTGTTCCCGTGCCGGAAGGCACGGAGGTTTACTATTCCCGTCCTCTATGGCACGGGAGCACGATATTCCCGTGCTTCACAAGACGGGAGCACGATATTTCCGTGCTCCACAAGACGGGAGCACGATGTTCCCGTGCGCCACAAGACGGGACCTGTATTTTAAATTTTTTTTTTTTTTTTTTTTACGTGCTCCCGTGCTGTACAGCACGGGAAACCCTAATTTTTGGGATTCCCGTGCTACACAGCACGTTAGACCCGACGAAAAACCAAAAAAATCCGGGAGTTTCTTCGATTTACCTCGTAAAACTCGTCAGGATCGGCCATATTGTTATATGTTGTCGTCGGGCAGTCGATTTATGAAAAAAACACGAAAATCTTAATTCGGGACTTTTGCTAGTTGAGAGCGTTTTGAGAATTTCAAAAAGTTGGAAAAGTTGAAATGAAAAGGTACCGCTGCAAATAAGCCTATTTCAGTAAAAGTCCCGCTACAATTAGCATTTCAGTTTTAAAAATTGTTGTTCGGAAAGTTATTATTTATTTAATTGATTAAAGTCTAAACAACACGCTTTGTTTGAAAGGAAAGATGGAATTGAACCTACACTTACTTATATAATAAATAAATACAGTCGGCTCTATAATTTTTTTATTAATTTAGTAAATTATATTATTATTGAATTAATACTTTAATACGTTTTTTTCCGAGTCGGGATTAAAAAAAATTATTATTTAAGCGAAATTATTAATATATCTAGTTTCTAGTGTAGTACAGTCAAACCTCTATAAATTAATATAGTCGGGATCAAGAAAATTCTATTAATTTAGCGAATTATTAAATTATCGAGTTAATAATTTAACACGTTTTCACCAAGTCTGGACCAGGAGAAACTATTATTTAATCGAAGTTATTAATTTATCGAGGTTCTACTGTATGTACTAAAAATATTTGAAGTTAAATTAAATAACAAAATAAAATAATTTTTTTTTCCGGTGGTCCCTGTCGGAGATTGATCAAAGCAGCCGACGTCGGACTATACTAAGTATACAGTCTTCTCTTTCGACTTAAGTTAGTCAATAGTCAATTTTTTATTTATTAATAGTAATTTATTGACTTGAAAAACCAAAACAAATTATTCATAATTCACTGGGAGTGGTTGAGCTCTCATATTTTGTCGCTGACAATTTAGAATAACAACAAGGGTAAATTACAAACACCCCTTGAGGTATGGTCAAATTACAAAAACACCCCTCTTGTTTGGATAATTACATCCACCCCCTCAGCTATGATTTTTTTCTTACACCTCCACCCCTATGGTGTCAAATTCAACATAATCATCTAGATTCCGTGGAATGTGCTATAGTTTGTATTCTTTTTGTGTAAAAATACAGTTTCTAATGCACCACAAACTGATATATACAACCTAAAAAACACATATTATGATCATCTTGCTTCATAATGTAGAGTTCGAATGGGATAAAACGGGTACAAAAGTGATAATATTCCATATAATCTCGAAGATTCCACTAAATTTGAGGAGTTGAGGGGGTGGTTGTAATTATCCAAACAAGAGGGGTGTTTTTGTAATTTGACCATACCTCAGGGGGGTGTTTGTAATTTACCCTAACAATAAATTGCCAACTACGTGTTAGAAAAAATCTAGGTTAGATTAAATTACAAAAAAGTCCCTCTTATTTGGATACTTACAACAACCACCGTCAACTATGTATCGTCTTACGGAAATCTAACTCCTTCAATAGGTAAATTTGACCATGCAAGAATGGACGTGTAAAACAATATATTAGCTGAGATGGGTGGTTGTAATTATCCAAACATAAAAGGGTATCTTCGTAATTTAATCTTACATCAGGGGTGACAGGAATTTGCCCAAAAAAAATAATGATCAATGTACAATGTGAATATCCATAGTAAAGATAAATTAATTTTGCTAATAAAAAGAAACATTTATTTAACACACTCAAGAACATACATGATTTTATAACTAGAATCATAAATAAAAAATAAAATCGAAATTATTAATGAAGATGTAATCTACTAATCTTTCATTTGAGCTAATTCTAATTTTATCTCAATAAATAGATTTTGTCTAATGAAAGACCTAAAAAAAACAAATACATGAAAGAAATCTAGAAACTAGCACCGATGTCCGAAAACGGGAGCCCGTTTACGACGATCAAATATAATTACCAGAATAACCTTTTACCTCGGAGACTTACTAGAGAGACACCTTCCACAAGAAACATATTTCAGCAGAGTTTGTGGCTTTCTTGCTCGAATTTTGAAACGCGAAAGCTGCATATTAAAAATCACATCAACATTTTCGAATATATTAATCGGTAAATATGGAAAAACGTACAGAGGTACATTTTTAACTCATTTTCTATAATTACATTAGAAAAAAATATGAGAATAAAACGTAATAAAAACAGCATGCAAGGTTTCGTCGTTTCATCTTTTGTAGCTTCAAATTTAAAATGTAAATCCCATAATTCGTACTAAAATAACGAGAAGGCAAAAAAAATACAATCTGATTTTTTTTTTTTTACCTTTCTACATGTTACTTTTGGAGGATTCCAACAAAGCAATTTCCTCGATCTTGATTCTAATCTCCTGCGAAAAAAAATAAGTCCGTTAAAAAATTATACGTAAAATCCAAAATAAAAAAATCACAATTTAAAAAAAATCTAACTTACAAATTTTCTTGTTCCAATTTTTCGGCAATCGAAACTGCTTTACGCTTCGACCAACCGTTATGCTGCGAACATCCCTCTGCCTGTTGAATCACATGTGCAAGCGAGACTTTACTTCTAACAAGGCTAAGGCTCTGATTTCTGTCACCCAACGTATTAGGTTTCTTTTGCATAGACGTTACTCCAGGGGCGTTTTCGACATTTTGCCTATCTTTGTAGTCTCTAGGAGAAGCTTCGATTTCAACGATTTCTCTTCTATTGATTCCAGAAGATGAGGCGTCTCTGTTCCGGAAACTTCTAATCTCCTCGTGCTTTGTGGGGTCCGCAGCTCCGATGTCTTTTCTTGATTCGCATCTGATCTCGATTGTCACTCGTGATCTAAGAACAGACTCGAATGCTTGCAATATTTGCAATCGGAATTTTTCCGCCTTCGATTTTGTCAGCTGAGAATTGAACAGCAATTGCACTGTTGGAGCTGCAATAAAATACCAATTATTATAAGGTATGTGACTTTGTTATAAAATCGAAACGGAGAAAAGCAATCTTCAAGATAAGTTTAGAATTTCGGACGGCTGCAATAAAGGATTTATTGCATTCGGAACGCTCGTGTTGTAAATATTAGCAAAAATTGTCAAAAGAAGCAATTCTATTAGCAAACTACCCCCTAAGAACTCGCCATTTAGGGGGTTGTGTGCTTAAAAAAATGCATCATAGGGTCTTTCTTTTGCTAATACTTACAACACGGGGAGTTTTCAGCAATTCGATATAACATAGGGGGTACTAAATGCAATAAACTCCTATAATAACCATAACCAGCATTGAAGTAACATGACTCTGGTTTATTACATTTACCACCCCTGTGTTTACTCTAATTATTAAAAAAGTCAATGTGTTTTAAATATTAGCAAAAAAACCCCATGTTGCAATTTTGTAGCAATAACTCATCATTTTTAGGGGGTCGTGTGCTAAAAAAATACATCATAGTAGTGTTTTTGCTAATATTTACAATGCGAGGGGTTTTTGGCAAATTTTTATAATACGGGGGTACGGAATACAATAAATTCCTATTATAACTCTAACCAGTATAGAAGTAACATAACTATGGTTTATTGCATTTCCACCCCTGTGTTATAAATATTAGCAAAAGGCCTGATGTTGCAATTTTTTCAGCAAACTACCCCCTAAAAACTCACCATTTAAGGGGTAGTGTGCTAAAAACAATTGCATCATAGTGGGGTTGTTGCTAATATGTACAACACGAGGAGTTTTTTGTCAATTCGATACAACAACGGGGTACTAAAATGCAATAAACTCAACATAACTACTGCACTTAAAAAAATATGGATGTACCTGCACCATAACTGACTGAAACCAGCTTCGCCTCCTGATACAAAAACTCTTTTACGCCATTAATCGGAATCTTCTCAAGAACTTGCATCCAAATTTCATCGATCTCTTCATTTAATTTCGGGTTTTCTTTTTCGAAATTTCCACCACTGCCCTTCAACTTAGCATCATCATAATGAACATTTCGAAAAGCGGGCATTTCGGCACTGCTTTTTCTCGGCTTCTCTCTTAAATGAGCATCATTATTTAAGACCAGAGGACTATGATTAAAACTTGTATCGGCAGACGAATTAGGTACCATGTACTGCTGATCTGGCGCCAGTTGTAGAAGTGCAGCTGTCAGCCACGTCATTCTATCGTTCGAAACCCTAAGCTGCTTCTCTGCTTCAGACAATATCTTTAATGCTTGTCTCAGTTTCTCCATATCTTCTTTCGATACTGTAAATAAAATAAAATTATAAAAAAAAAAAAACGATAGTTTTCTATATCCATCATGAAGGATTAAAAATGTCGGAAAATGAAAATTGGATAATATAAGAAACTTACGTGAACTTCTTCGGAAAAACTTCCTTCTAGAACTTTCTTTCACGAAAATGTAGCTTCCAGCAAGAATATCGGTTATTACCGTAGCGAGCTGTGACATTAATGCCAATGGTTCAACACCAGATTCCATAATATCTCTCAGATTCTTCACTGTATTTACTGTGTCGGCGGATAAGGCTAAATCAAGAAGATCCACTAATTTCTCGTCTGAAATTAGGCCAACCTGTAAAACTACGACAAAAGCGTTTATCTATTTTCTATCTTTGGATGGAAAATTTAAGGGTGGAAATCGGACTGATTGGATTGGAATTAGCATTTTCAGAAAAAAAAAAATCAATTTTTTTTGCTAATACCAACTCCGTTAAAAAAAAATCGGAAATTTATGGATATTAGAATGAAAAAACTTGTTCCAAAATCAGAAATTTTCAGATCCTAATCGGCGGAATCCGAACAATTCCATTTTTTCAGTCACCTAAAATACAATCACATAATAATTTCGATATTTCAAGTGTAAATTGCGGATTTTTTTTTGAACATTCGGAAATAGAAACCGGATCGGAAATCGGAATCTCATGTTTATTCTACTCAAATCCAAACAAAAATTGGAAATCAGATTGAATTCAGAAAGAAAAACTTTGTTCCAAAATTGGAAAATTCCGGATCGCAATTGCCAAAATCGGAAATTATGTTCAGATTTCCACCCCTAGATGGAATAAACAGCAAATATAGCATTGCAAATAGAAAACAAACTTACCAATTCTTGAACGAGGCCAATAGATATTCTCTTCCCGAGCAAACTAAGCTGTTCCAAAGTCATTTCAGCATCTCTCAAAGAACCATCCGATCTCGAAGCAATAAGCTTCAAAGCATCTTTATCAATATCCAAATCTTCTTTCGTAGCAATCCACTGCAACGTATATATAATATCCGCATCCTTTAATTTTGGGAAAAGGAATTTCTGACACCTGGATATTATTACATGAGGCAAAGCATCAATGCTCGAGCAGACAAGTACAAAAACAACACGCCTAGGTGCTCGATCAATGACCTTCAATATCGCGCTCCAACATTCGGTAGACAAAGTATCACATTCATCGAAAATGAAAACTCTGTACTGAGATTGTAGCTGAGAAGCAACTGCATTATCGAGAAGTTCTATTATATTCCGAAAATCAATATTACTAACTGGACCTATTTCCCTTACATTTCGATTCTTGATACAAGAACTGCAAAATCCACAAGGCTTTGGGTGATCTATGGACTGGCAATTTAATGCCCTCGAAAATATACGAGCACAAGAAGTTTTGCCAGTTCCGTGGGGCCCGTGAAATAAATAGAGCAACCCGATTTTCCGTTTTGCAATCGCGTTCGAAAGAGCCTGTACTACCAAATTCTGACCTACTAAATCTCGAAATGTTCTTGGCATATACTTTTGAGTGATACTTTGATGCCTTTCTTGATGCTGCTTTCGATGCTTGTGTTGATGTTGTTGCTCGTGGGACCTACCTTCGGATGCCAGGTCAGAATCGGTTTCTTGCTTCAAAAGATTGTCAGCAAAAACGCCTAATTCGCCCGAATAATCATGAAACCAACGAGCACGTTCGATGCTTCCTTCTGAAGCATCGAGCAATAGAGGCAACGCTTCACCGTGGTTGGATTTAGTGGACGAGCTCGAGTTTTCAGACATGACCGGAATATTCTGAGTATTGATTCCTCGAGAATTGGAGCCGCCCCTTTTCAGCCCCGATTCAGATAAGCCACAAGAGAGGCTCCGACCAGCCATATCAAGAATCGATTTCCCTCGGTTATGAAGACTCGACCAATTCCACGGAATACCACAGCCATTTCCAGGTACACCATTAATGCCCTCTTCGACTTTATGTTTGTGGGCTTGAGCAAAAGAATTAGACGCCACAGATATTTCATTTTGGGCAGCCATAGAAGGGCGAGTTCGTCTCGCACCTCGAAATCTTCGCCTTTTCGCTCTGTTATTCACACTGCTCCTATGTCGGATGCTTGCACCTGCTTCTTCGCCATTCTTCTGTACTTGACTCTGCCTCGTGTTTCGAGATGAAGCCGCACCGTCACTTTCAAACGGGGCATCTTTCAACTGATCAGACAAAGTTTTAAGGTGCCTATCATGTCGATGCCCCACCTGAGAGTTTCTAGAAGCATCTTCGACGGACCGTCTTCCGTTGACTAAATCGCCCTTTTCGCCTCGTTTGAGAAGGAGGTCAACCGTGGAAGGAGAATGCCACGAGGGCGGACTTGCGGAAGGATCTCTCAAGGACCTCGATCTCTGAAGGGTGACTAGATCCCTCATAAGGGCTCGATCGGCAAACATCGGACTGTGCTTGTGCATGTGGTTCTTTAAATGAATGCAGTTTGTTAAATGAATGTGGTTCCGTAAATGATCGCTAATATTTCCGTTCACATCTTTGAGTATCCGATCTCGAACGGCTCTGGTCATGGTCAAAACATGAATTGATCCAATGGGAATATTCTTGAATATGGCCAAAACATCAATCAATGCTCTTAAGTCTTAATATACAACAACCCAAGATTGAAGATCCTTCTATTTAAACCTCTAATTTGGCATGCACCTAATCAAATAAGGATTCAAAACTTTCTAACCTATCAGCACTAAGAATGTAAAGAAAGCACTTCTTTTTCATAACTAAAAGCCCCCTCCATTCCTATGATGAACCCTAGAGAGAGAAAGGAAATAACATTCCTGCAAAACATAACATTAGCAATTTGAGATATTAGAGAGAGTACAGAACGGAGAAAGAAACAAAACCCACATAAATTACAATCGCGAAAAAGCAAACTAAACCACCCCTAACTCTCTTTTTTTTCGGTGAAGCAATTTATCAAGCAATTTGACGGCATGAAATCCATGATGACACAAACAATAAAAATGGGAGTTGAGAAAGAATACTTGATTCACCTGAATCTTGGAGTATTCGGCAACGACCAACAAAGGTGTTTTTTTTAAGCAAGAGACCCGTTGCAATCATCAAGTGTCACTTTCTCTCTCTCTCTCTCTCTCTCTCTCTCTCTCTCTCTCTCTCTCTCTCTCTCTCTCTCTCTCTCTCTCTCTAACTCTGTATCTCGCTGTCTCAGATCTCTTTCGCCATACTTTGCACATGAACTTCACGAGGTGCTCTCGAGCAAAACGATACAGCACACCTCCAATTTGTGTTTCCTTTTTTCTTTTTTCTTTTTTTAATTGGTGTTCATTAGCAAAAATGTGGTGCGACTTGTCTGTATTTAGCAAGGGACTGTAAACAGTGATGGTGCCTCTGCAGAGTGAGATTTAGAGTGGTGTGTGTGTGTGTGTGTTAGAGAGAGAGAGAGAGAGATAGAGAGAGATGACTAGAGAGAGAAAGAATAAATATACAGTGGGGGGAGGGGGTGGGGGCGGGGTGTGGTGTGATGGTGCTGACTGCTGACAGGTTGCATAAGAAAACAAGGCATAATTACAAGAACTTCGATTTGACCATTTTGCTTTTACTGCCTTGGAAATAAATTTAAATAATTTACAATATCTATTTAATTTACTATTTAAAAGGAAAATGCAAAAGGGTTTTTTACCAATATGTTATATGTATACTACTTTCTATTTCAAAGTAAAATTAATTTTTTTTCTATTTAATGAATTGAAGCAATAAATTGGTGTTTTTTTTTTTAATATTGGGGGACCAAACCAAATGGCCATTATATTCAAAATAGTGAAATACCGTTGAATAGGATGGGCCCGGCTCGGGCCCTTTTTTAAAAGGGTGGATATGATATTTTAATTCAATTAATTAGATTTGCAATACATAAATAGAAAATGTAATGGAAGAACAAAAAAGTGAGTGAAACGAATTAATGTATTCAACGTTGTGAATTTAATTACTTTTTTTTTTGTTTTAATATTATATAAGTAGTATATTATTCGAATCAATTGAATTATTACTAAATAAGGCCTTTTATTTAATTTTGTCTTTTTTTTTTTTTTTGTGGTTCATGCTTTGTGTCACAATTTGCAACTTTGGATATATAAAGAAACAAATATATTTTTGAAATTTTCCGAAAAAAACACATGCACTTTTTGCATTCCCTTAATGCAAAGATTCGATTTATTATTATTATTATTATTATTTTTTTTCTTGGTGAGATACTCATTAATAAATTTATTTATTTTTCATTTGAAATGATACACTATTTGTTAATTATCCTGCAATTTAATGTGTAATTTAACTAGGTATCGAAATTTTCTCCAATAATTTAGTCGAATATCAAATAAATTAAATTTAAAAAAAAAATAAAAAAGATCCGAATTTGTGAGAGAGAGAGATTGTCAATGATCAAATCATTAAAAAAAACATAAATTGTTTTATCGTTACTAATAATAGCAAACTAATTAAATATTATTGGGCCATGTGGGAGAGATAATAATTAAATTAAATTAAATTAAACTGGTATCCCATTGGATTCTCTGTCAAATTAAATGGACAGCTTGAATTTGTCGTTTTGTGCCTTTGAACATCGTGTGTTTCAAATTTCAAGAACTTTGCATTATGTGGATAATTATCAAAATGGACACAAATCATTTTTAAAAATTAAAAAAAAATTGTTCTTAATTATTGACGCCATGGTGCTACAGTAATCATTTAATTGAGCTTAATACAGTAATTAGTGTATTACATTATGGAGTAATTGTTGTGGCAATAATTGCCTTTCTTGGGAGGAATATTCTCCAAAATGTACAACCCCCTGAAGCACAGATGGAACTTCAAAAGTACAACTATGGAGCCGTTGTGTTTGTCTGCATGCTTCTTCAGCTTTCCCCAACCTAGGTTTAGCCATGTGAATCAACAGTATAAGCTGTTTAAAATAAGCTTATAAGCTGTTTAAAATAAAATATAACAGCAAATTAAAAAATGAAACAACTTAAAGCTGTTTAAAATAAGCTTAGTGACACGGGCCTTAATTGTGAGTGTGATAGATAGCCTTCAATTATATCACACTCCAAGAAGTTTACCCTATTATAATTGTTTGTTTCCTGTCTAATAATTTCAAAAAAATAAATAAATAAAAAGACAAATAATAATAATAAAGTTAAATACATTGCACGCGAGTTGTGGACCTTCAAAAATTGGTCAATAATTGTATACTATATAGAATTATAGACCCTTAAAAGTTAGTGATGTACTTGTACAGTACACTTTTTTCAATAAGATCTTGATTTGAAATAAAGATTCCATTTGAGAAGTATCTAAACTAGAGTTAAACAATCACTTAAAAAGCAGAGTATAACAAACTTATATAGGCACAACTTACAATTAAAGACTACTAATTACTTATTAATTAACCTATGAATTATCAATAAAAACACGTGCATAGGTGTCATTATTGCATTGGATGGCTATGAGTTGATTAATTATTGCTAAGCAATTAAAATCTTAATTATTATAATAATCATGTCATGCTTACCAAAAGATTCCTTAGCTTTTAGAACATCATACTTTAAAAGGCAAATTCATGTCCAGTTCTAAAGTAACACTCTCTTGGAAATTGAAGCTACTTAATTCCCACGTTAATCTACACTAACAGTGATTAATTAACACTAATCACATGCAAACCCCTTTTAGGATTAACTAATTAAACAAACGTTAATGACAAAATGTGTTCGGCAAACTGGTAATGAAAAATTCGAAATAAAACGACAAACGGAAACTGAATTTACAGAAATATACAGTCTGCGCAGGTTTTTTTTTTTCAATTTTCGTGGATCAGATTTGTAGGCTCGCTCAGAACGTATTTGGGCAGCTCGTACTTTGCACCTGCGATTAAAAGGTTTCGGATTAGAACGAAATTACAAGAAGAAATTAATTAGCGATAATAAATTAAACGCAAACCTCTCTCATCGTAGCAGGTTGTTAAATCGGGATTTTGTACGATAACACCAGCACTGTCGACAATTGCTTGTGCCAGAGTTAAATCTGCTTCGGCTGCTGCTCGAAGTGCTTCCCATATCTCTGATAAAGTCCGAGAAAAAAAAAAAAAAAAAAAAAAAAAAAAAAAAGAAAAAAAAACCCGTGATTTACATGTTAAAATCAAACGCATGAACCCGAACATGGCAATCTGAAAGTTTTGCTATAATTAAGAATTTATACTCACACAGAATGATTATCAAGAATATTATGTAACGATACTGCGAAAGGGTTATTTTTTATTAGAGAAATATTAATCGATACTTGTGATTATTCAAAACGAACCTTTTCGACCACCGTAGTGTGGAGCAGTATCCCAAAACTCCTCACGCATCTTTACCAATTGAGCTCTGGTTATTGCTTCCGTATGCTTCCATGCCTTGGGCTTCCGTATCTTCTTAGAATTTTCTAGAAGAAAACGGGAATCAAACTATCAAGAAAGCAGCATCACACAGTATCCGAACAATTTTACGATTTCAGCACCTCTTTATTATACTGATAACCAACAGACACCATAGATATTTGTATAAGCAGAACAACATCAAATATTCGTACGGTCATCATTTCACTAAATTTCACTAATTTCATCATTTTCGTACGATCATTTTTCAATGTCACCCGAAATTAAATCGGGTAATGCCACATTCTCTTTGGTCCTTTATATGCACAGTTCCAGCACAGATTTCACGAAAATAAAACGAGCACTCCTCTCTTGGCTCGATATTATCAAATTTGCCATAGAAAATCCAGTATTAGCTAGATCAACTTTACGGTAAAGTCGGAAAATATAGGTGAACGAGAATTCGTTGCGTTTTTTTTCCTCAGTATAAATACTCAAATCGAAACCACATACGTCAAACTGTTCGGATAGTTTTCATAGCAGCAAATAAAACATATATCCGAATTGTAGATAGTTTCCCAGCACATACATTAAAGTAAGAACACGAATACTCGTTCTTCGTTAGTAAGGCAGCGATTACATCAAAGCTACGCTGGAGCAAAGTTGAGATCACATCAAAACTTTGTGAAAATCATGATGTCAGAAACAAGACGGTTGGAGCGATTGGAAAAATCCGTAGAGAAATTACGGATTAATTTTCAGAAATTGCTCGAACAAAGTCAAGGACGACGTCAACGCCACCACAAAAGCCGAAGTGACCGCTGCCGAAGGGACCCCTGCCCGTCACCGCTACGGCCATCACCACCACCGCCGCTGCCGAGCCTATCGTCGGAGGGAGAGGAAGAGGACGACGATGACTTTTTCGAAGAGCCCCAAATTTTTGTGAGTTCGCCCAAAGAAGAAGAATCGAATTCCACAGAGATAAAGTGGGACGAAGAGCCGAAAGAAGAAGAATCGGAGTCAATTGAGATAAAGTGGGACGAAGATGAAAATTTATCTAGGGAAGAAACCGAAGAATTCCAATTAATAGTTGAGGAAGGTTGTGACGCAGAAAAGAAGGACGGTGTACATGATGAAGCTGCATCGAATCAAAATATCAAATTAGAAATTTTCTATGGTGATGATATTGCTGTGAAGAAATTGGACCAGTGCGGAGATCAAAATATTAGGTCGGATTTTATGGTCAAAGATCTGACCTTTGATATGACGACCCATGGAAATTCAATTAAATTAATTCATTATTCTATTAAGAAAAGTCACAAGTTATTGGTTCATAACTTCGTGGCTGTAAATTTTGTGGAGCACCATTTAAATGCCAGTCAACCCAATAGGAAAAGGAGTTTGGATTGGAATACGAAGACACCATTCATGTACCAGGATTTAAGGTGTTCAAGTATACAGGCATTCAAACATAGGTGGAAACGCAAAGGAGAGGGACCAAATTGACTCGAACCTTGAGGACAAGGTTCATTTCAAGAGGGGTGGTTTGATACGATATATTAATATATATCGTTTAATTATTAGATAGTTAGTATTTTTATTACTAATTAATTAGAATAGTTTGTTAGGTTTATTATATACATAGCCGTGTGTTTAGGTTAGGATATATATTAAGTATTTTATTAGTCTAGGTAATTATCTTTTCTAGTTAGATTAGGATTCTAGGGTTTTCATATCTTTAAATAGTTGTCTTATGCTAGGGTTTTATTATGCAGAGAGAAATATTAAAGAATAGATCTTACGTTTCGTAAGAAATATTTATGATACTCAAGAGATCGTATTCGATACCAAAGATTTACCGGAAAATGGCAAAAAAGCAAAAAAAAAAAAAAAAAAAAAAAAAGAAACTAAAACAGAATCATAACAATGGAGATTGAATTTCTCATATGTTATTGAAACCAAACCAATCAGATAATACGAAAAAAAAATCATGAAAAATATCTAGAAATTCCGGATTAAAACCTAAAACAATAAACACTAAACTATTGAGCTAGAACACAGTAAAATTCGTGAATCCACAATTAAACAATTACAAATACAAGCAGTCGAAACAAACAGAGAACCACGTAAGAACACCCTAACAAAAAAATAAAAATTAAACAAATAATTTAATGCTACAATCAAAAACAAATTGGAGAAGAATCCATCATTTAATACAGGAAATTAAATAAATAAACGTCAAAATCGTGTCGAAAAAGAGTACCGTTTCCTTTTTCGCGCGATCCAGCGCAACCCATACTGTGCAATCTCGAACACAATCAATAATTGATGGATTTCCAGTCAATTAAAATTAAAAAAAAAAAAAGATGAATATCAATTAACGCTAATGCGTAGAGAGGGAGAAAGAGTCGAATTGATTTTGAGTCTCTCTCTCTCTCTCTCCTCTCTCTCTCTCTCTCTCCCTCCCCTCTCTCCCGATTGAATACAACTGTGTGTGAGTGTGAGTGTATGTTTGTTTTATTATTTATTTATTTATTCTTTTTCAATTTTAAATGTCAGGGAATCTTGTTCTATTTTCGGGGGCTAAAATGGATGTGAGTCCACTATTTTCAGTGATTTGTACACGTCAAAATTATTAATCCAAAAAAAAAATTATTTGAAAAAAAAATATAAAGAATTAGTAGGAATTATTTGTTTTTGTAAAAAAAATGAGATAATCGAAAAAAAAGTGAGAAATTTATATAAAATACTATTTTTGATATGGGCCCAATATACGAAATGGGTATTATTATTTCAAGAACTGGGCTTCTTGTGGCTATTTAGCTTATTGCAATCATGTAGTTACAAAATAATAATGGGGTTAATGTTTAGGAAATTAATTAATATATAAATTAATAATGAATTATTTAATTAATTAAAAAATAATAATGGAGTTAATTTTAACATTATATTAAATAAAAATATACATATTTAAGCAATAACTAATCTCTATATATAGTTGATAATTATTTATGATCATTCTATGATGGGCTTTTTAATTGAAAATGAACTAGTTTGGATTTTATGGGCCAAGCCCAATTGTTTACACCAGACAATTAAAAAATGTCTTTATTCGTTAGGTTGTACATCTTAGTTTTGCTTGTCGTAAAATCAAAATATTCACCAAACTTGTACAGCAATAGTGTAACAGAAGAGAAGACGAAATTAATAAATAATAAATAATAAATAAATTAAACATAAAATAAATTATGATTATTGTCGTTGCATCTTGAAATTTAAGGACAATAAGTGTAAGCGTGCAAGCCATCTTGATTTGGAATATAAGTCATTTCCCATGATTATTTAATTCGTTGATTCTTTTTACTGAAATATTAAATGTCGTTTTAATTTTTATTAATATTGTTTCGATTCAAATATGAGTTTGACCATTTTGTAGTCTGGTACGTGTAAAATTTAAAATATAGAAATTGTAGCCATAATTCAATTTGAATCAATTCGATTGGATGTCTCGTTGCGAAGTTATGCATGAATGTATATTTTTTTTATCCGACATCTACTCTCGTGGATCCAAATTGTATAATAAAAATAACTACGAGTTCCATATTTCGAGTTTTTCCAAATTCAGACTAACAAATAGTCAAAATTACGTTTAAAGTCGAAAACAATATTCATTAAATTGGAACTATATCTATTACATCCCTTCTTTTTAAGTGCATTTATATTTATATCTATTTTAAGGCTAAAATACTAAAAGAGGAAGAATAAATTGATTTCACAGCTGTTTAATCTCAAATATTCAAACTTGTGTTCAATTTTAGTTTCTGGCATGTCTGCAGATTTCACACCTTAAAAGTCCACAAATTACGCATGAGATTCTCTTCCAGGTTCAATTTTCAATTCTTGCATGATTTTACAAGTATATATCTTATAATGAAATAGGCCATCAAATTACGAAAACACCCCTCTTGTTTGGTTAATTACAATCACTCTTTCCTTTAAAAATATTTTTACGTAAAATTTATGTAATTCGGTTATTTACCGAACCAAATCATATATTTAGTCCAGTAAACAGTATGAAATGTTAATGCGTACCGAAATTTATGTTCGGTTTTATCGAATTAACATCCCAAAATTTATCTTTTGAGGGGTTTTTTCGTAAGATAATACATAGTTGAAGGGGTGATTTTAATTACCCAAACTAATCAGGGGTGGTCGTAATTTGTCCTATAAAATAAAATTGATAAAAATTACTATTAAAAAGTCTAACATACCGTAGAAGTAGAACCTCGATAAATTAATAAGTACCGTAGAAGTCTAACATACCACCGTAGAAGTTGTAATAATGTACTAAATTATTAGTTCGATAATTTAATATTAAAAAAAATTCAAATTTTTGGGAATAAGTACAAAGCAATAATGTATGAATTTATTGATTATGGTACGTGGATTCCATTGTTGGATTATGTTCCTTTCAATGTTTGTGGCTAAATTCTTTGTGAGTCACATTATTTAATAAATGCTACCTGCTATATTGTTCTCAACCTACTCTACTTCAAAATCATAGAACCCCCATTCTTGAGTGCTTCCTTCAAGCATCCCATAATTTTAATCCATCTCAAAATCATTAAACAAAGATTCCTAGGTTCTTTAAAAAAAATAAAAAAAGATCATATATAATTGATCCAACGCGCTTCTTATAATTGTTTAATTTATAAAATATTTTCCCTATTGTTATTAATTTTATAGTCAAATTACGGCCAGCCCCTTAAAGTAAGCTCAAATTACGAAAAAACCCTCCATGTTTGGATAATTACAATCATCCCCTCAACTATTAATCTTCATGAATTTCCACCTTTATGGTGTCGAATCCAATAGAATCTTCTAGATTCCGTGGAATATTCTCTAGTTTGTATTCCTTTTTGTCCAAAAATACAGTATCCGATGCACCACAATCTGATATTTTATGATCGACTGATTTCAAAATACGGAGCTCGAATGAGGTAAAATGTGTATAAACTGGAGAATATTCCACTAAATTTGACATCATAAGAAGATTAACAGTTGAGACTGTAGGGGTGGATTCGGTACGGTTGCCAAACATTTGGCTCAATACCGTGTACCTACCGTACATTGTGGTATTGAAAAATTTCATACCATTACCGTACCAAAATGTTCGGTATACCAATGTTTGGTACACCGTTATTTTCGGTACGTTACAATCGGTACGTGGTACTCTACCGTACGTGGTGATTGTATCAAAGATTAAAGAACAAATGAGCTAACAAATATGTAAATCTCAATTGAAAATAGTTCTAGTGTATCTAATTTTCGAAGAAGGCCTGAGTGTATAATCATGAATAATCAACATAACTTGCTTCAATGAAACAAGAATATAAACCCAAATAAATTTGGTTTAATGGAACAACTAAGTACATCTTAAGTACTTGATTGTACGTAATAATTAGTACATACAATAAATATTTTACTAATACTAAACATACATGTATATGCATGTAAAAAAGAGATATTCATACATGAAATATAATAAAACTAGTTGGCAATAGGTAACATACATGACAATTTAACATAATATATATGTCCAATTATAAAATTCAACTTGGTCGGAAAAAAAAAATACACTACCACTAACTTCAGGTAAAAATAATTGTTGCAATTCATAAGCTTCCAAGTAAAAAATATAATTACAAAAAATAATATCGAGGTAAATATCTTAATCGAATTATAAAATATAAATTGCGGTACGGTACGGTATTACCGTGGTATAGAAATACAATACCACTACCTTACCATATTGTAATGGTACGGTACTAGTACCGTACCGTAAACATTGGTAACCGTTCTTTCGGTAAATTTTCGGTATTTCTTGGTAGGTATACCGTGGTACATGGTAATTGGCATTTTTTTTCCAGCCCTAATTGAGAGAGTGATTGTAATTACCGAAACAGTAGGGGTTTTTTGGTAATTTAACGTTGTGGGATAATGTAAAATAGTGGAATTTTTCTTTATCTTTTGTTCCTCCTTTCCCACGCTTTAGATCTTTGCTTTACTCATCACAAAATCTCTGCCTTAAACCACTGAGTCAAAAACAGAGTCCAAAATCTCAGCTTTCTCTTTCTTCTCTTCCAAAATTTTCATTTCTGCAATTAAATCAAGAATTTGATGGAAAGCAGAATATCCAAAACATTTCAGAGATTCATCCACCCAACTAAGAAAACATCCAAAAACGGCGGAAACTTAGAGAGAGAAAGTGCAGCAGACTCAGCCAACAAAAACAGAGCAGCCATGGAAGCCTTTGTATCGAAGCTTTTCGCATCTATTTCATCTCTCAAAGCAGCTTACGCAGCTCTGCAAACCGCCCAACTACCTTACAACATCGACAGCATAAACTCCGCTGATCAAGAAATCGTCGAAGAGCTGAAATCGCTGTCGGAGCTCAAACGTAAGTACTCGAAGAAACAGGTTGATTCTTCTTCTTCTTCTTCCTCCCCACCCCACGTGACTTTAATGCTGTCTGAAATTCAAGAACAGCACTCTTTGATGAAGACTTACGAAATCACCATGAGGAAAATGCAGACCGAACTCGAAATTAAAGAATCCCGAATTTTGCAACTTCGAGAAAAATTGAAAGAGATCGTTGAAAAGAATGAGAAAAAAATGAGCAAGATTGGATCTTTTTCGGTTCTTGATAGTGTGAAATTTTCAGAGATGAATGTAAATGATTTTACAGTTGTTTTGAACTATGTTCTGAGATCTGTTCGTAGTTTTGTGAAGTTCTTGATTCGTGAAATGGAGTGTGGTGATTGGGATATTGAAGCTGCAGTGAGTGCAATACAGCCTGGGATTGTGTTCAGGAACAGGGATCATAGGGTTTTTGTGTTGGAATCGTTTGTTTGCGGAGAAATTTTGTCTGGGTTTGATAAACCTAATTTTTGCGACGGAAAGTTTGGTCACTGTTTGCCTGGGGAGAGAAATCAGCGACGGAATTTCTTCTTTGAGGAGTTTAAGAAGATGGGTTCGGTGAATGGGGTTCGTTTTCTGAAGAGAGTGAGGAATTCTTTATTTGGGGAGTTTTTGAAGTTGAAGTATTTGAATTTGGTGCACCCGAAAATGGAGGTTTCGTTTTTCGGGGATTTGAGGTATAGAAAAATGGTGGATTCCGGCGAATGGCCGGAGAGTGAGTTCTTTAAGATGTTTGCTGAAATGGGGAGGAGGGTTTGGGTACTGCATTGCTTGGCGTTTTCTTTTGATCGGGAAGTTGGAATATTCCGGGTGGAGCGGGATTCCAGATTCTCCGAGGTGTACATGGAAAGTGTGGCGGAGGAGGAGGCGGCTGCGGCGGCGGCGGAGGATTTGAGGGTGGCGTTTACGGTGGTGCCGGGGTTTAAGTTCAGCCACACGGTTGTGCAGAGCCGGGTTTATTTATTTCCGGCGAAAAGTTAGAGATGAACCCGTTTTGAAAGGTGAAACCATAACTCAACGGTGAAAGGGCGGCGCGTGAAGAGCAGACGCGAAGACGAGTCAAATCGAAGAGCAGGCGGGCATTAAAGAGGCGAGTGGGGCCCACGCGGAAATAATGTCACGAACCCTTCCTTTGTCTTCAATAATCAGCTTCGTTTATGAGAAAGAAAACCTGTAACAATGGAGTTCAGTGAGAAAGTGGTGGCGGCGGATAATGCTCTAGGGTTGGTGAGAAAAGAGAATATTAGCTACACTAAGTTTAACCTAAAGATTACCAGTAATTGCCTCCCATTGTCAGCTGCTCCTTTGTCTTCTTATACTGCCATCACGTGATAGAGGAGCTGGAGTGAAGGTGGAGCCTCCCATGCAGCTGAGGTGTGCCCACGTCTGCCTCTTCCCTTCTCAAAACGACAGCGTTTCGTCTTATTCTTTAATAATAATAAAAGCGTATAAATAATAAAAGCGCGTTCACGCTTTCTCAAGTTGAACGACACCGTTTTATTAACGGATTTAAAAATCCGTTTATTCAGTTATTACACTACCCCTCCCTCTTTTCCAGCCATGTCTCATGGCTGAAATGTGGGAAATTTCTTCCCCATCTCATCAGCGTTTTCCCACGTAGCTTCCTCCTCCGGTAAGTGGATCCATTTCACTAGCCACTGCACTAGTGCAGCATTGTTTTTCTTGACCATTCTTCTTTCTAAAACCCTTTCGGGTACTAGCAAAAACTGATTGCTTTCATCAAGAGGTGGTATTGAAGGTGGTACTTGAGTTTGAGTGCCTATGTGTTTCTTCAGCTGAGACACATGGAACACCGGGTGCACCTTGCTATCAGTAGGGAGATCAAGTTCATAGGCAACTGGTCCTATCTTTTTGATGACAGCAAAGGGTCCACAATACTTCGGGGTCAGTTTCCAAAGATGACTCTTCCTCAAACTTAATTGCTTATAGGGTTTAAGCTTCAAGTAAACAAGCTCTCCTTCCTCAAAATGTCTTTCACTTCTGTTTTGATCAGCATAAAATTTCATCCTGGCTTGTGCTTCTCCCAGTAACTGTTTCAACTGTTGAGTAACCCTCTGGTGCTCTTCTATCCATACTTTGACTCCTTCTGTCTTCTTGAGTAGGTGTGGCCCATATCCTAACTGTGGTGGTTGATATCCATACAAGGCCTCAAAAGGGGTCATCTGTATAGTGGAGTGAAAAGTGGTGTTATACCACCACTCAGCTAGTGGGATCCATGAGCTCCATTTCTTTGGCATTTGTCCACACATGCATCTTAGGTAGGATTCTAGGCACTGGTTCACTCTTTCTGTCTGTCCATCAGTCTGAGGATGGAAAGCAGTGCTTAACTGTTGCTGCACCCCCAAAGACTGCATCAACTCCCTCCAAAAGTGACTGGTGAATATGGGGTCTCTATCAGAAATGATATAATTTGGCAACCCATGCAGTTTATAGATTTCTTCAATGAATGTCTGAGCTAGAGTAGAAGCTGTGGTAGGTTGAGAGAGAGCTATGAAGTGCCCATATTTGGTGAACCTATCAACTACTACCCATATGCTTTCTTTCCCATGTGATTTGGGCAGTTTTACAATAAAATCCATGGTAATGCAAGTCCATGCTCCCTCTGGTATAGGTAGTGGTTGGAGGAGTCCTGGTGTCTTAACATTTTCATGCTTGCTCAGTTGGCAGATATGGCAATTTTTGACCCATTCTTTCACTTGGCTCTTGAGTCCAGGCCACAGAAACACCCCTTGAATCCTTTGGTAAGTGTTTTGTATGCCAGAATGCCCCCCCATGCTTGTCCCATGCATCTGCTCAATGAGATTCTTCCTCACTTCTTGTTGACTTCCCACAAAAATTCTGCCCTTGAATCTTATGATTCCTTCACTGTACTGGTAAAATGAGACATCTAATGGTCTCAGGGAGCAATTAGCAATGATTGCTTGTGATTCTTCATCATTGTCATAACTTTGGATGACCTCTTGAATCCACATAGGTTGGATTATTGTCATTTGGTTCAAGGTCTGCTCAGTTCCTCTCCTTGATAGTGCATCAGCTGCACTGTTCTCAGTTCCTCTCTTATATTCTATGGTATAGTTGAAACCTAGCAGTTTGGCTAAGTATTTGTGCTGCAGTGGAGTGGAAAGCTTCTGTTCCAATAGATACCTCAAGCTCTTCTGGTCAGTTCTTATTACAAAAGTGCCACATATCAGATAAGCTCTCCACTTCTGTACTGCCAGAAGTATAGCCAAGAATTCCTTCTCATATATAGATAGACCTAGGTTCTTTGTCCCTAGTGCTTTGCTTAAATAAGCTAAGGGGTGGCCTTTCTGCATTAATACTGCACCAATTCCATGATAGGAGGCATCAGTCTCAACCACAAACTTTTCTTTGAAATCTGGCAGTTGCAGCACTGGTGTGGTAGTCATGGCTTCTTTCAGCTTTTCAAAAGCTTCTTGGGCCTCTAAGTTCCATTGGAATTGCCCTTTCTTCAGTTGTTGAGTTAGGGGTTTAGCTATCTCTCCATAGCCTCTCACAAACTTTCTGTAATACCCAGTCAAGCCCAGAAACCCTCTAAGAGCTTTCACTGTTGTGGGAGTTGGCCAGCTCTTCACACTTTCTATCTTGCTAGGGTCTACTCCTACCCCATCTTCAGTGATGATGTGCCCCAGATATTCCACTTGTTTTTGACCAAAACTGCACTTACTCATTTTAGCATATAGTTGGTGTTTCTTGAGAAGCTCCAGAACTCTTCTCACATGTTGTTGGTGAGAATCAATATTAGGGCTGTAGATGAGTATGTCATCAAAAAATACCAACACAAATTCCCTTAGGTGATCCCTGAAGACATCATTCATCAGGGCTTGAAATGTAGCAGGTGCATTTGTGAGTCCAAATGGCATCACCAAGAACTCATAATGCCCAGCAGAAGTTACAAAGGCAGTTTTCTCCACATCCCTTTTGCTCATTCTAATTTGGTGGTAGCCAGCTCTGAGGTCAATTTTTGAGAACAACCTAGCTCCCCCCAATTCATCTAATAAATCATCAATTAAAGGAATGGGATATCCATCCTTTATGGTCATGGAGTTTAACTTTCTGTAGTCCACACAGAATCTCCATGATCCATCTTTCTTTTTGACCAACAGTACTGGTGATGCAAATGGGCTGTTGCTAGACTGTATGATCCCAGCTTGTAGCATTTCTTGCACCATGGCTTCCACCTCTTTTCTCTGCATGAAAGGATATCTATAGGGTTGGGATTTGAATGGCTGAGCATTCTCTTTAAGGGGAATTGAGTGTTCAGCTCTCCTTACTGGTGGCAGCTCAGTAGGTTCTTGAAATACTCCAGCAAATTCACTGATCACTTCTTTGATTTCATCTGGAATTTCTGTCCCTTCCCTTGTACACTCTGGATTCTGCATCATGACTAAGCACCCCATGTTAATCTCTCTATTGTGCAGCATGCTTTGCAATTCTTCCTCACCAATCATGTGAAATTCGGGCTCCCCATTTACCCCTTGGAGTACTACCTCTCTTCCCTCATAATTGAATGCAATTGATTGTACATTATGATCAAAAGAAAGTGGTGCAAATCTCTTCATAAAATCCACCCCAAGTACCAGATCACACCCTCCTAGTTCCAAAAGAGTCACACTGATCTCAAACTTGCAATTTCCCATTTCCCACTGGAAGTTTGGGCAGAATGAATCACACTCCACTTGGAGCCTCCCAGCCACTTTCACTTTAGATCTTTTACTGCACACCCTATCACACTTTAATCTGATTGCAGTTTGAGGGTCTAGAAAACTATGTGAAGCTCCAGTGTCAAGTAGGATGGTTATAGGTTGACCCTTGTGTTTTCCTAGCACCTTGAGTGTGGTCTGCGTGACTTGGCCAGTGATAGCATTGAAGGAAATTTGCATGCACTCCTCTGCTACTCCCTCTGCCAATTCCTCTACCTCTTCTGCAGTAGCTTCATCATCTGATGATGGTATGCACTCAATATGGAATAGCTTCTTACACCTATGTCCAGGAATGTATCTCTCATCACAATTGTAACATAGTCCCCTTTTTCTTCTTTCTTCTAACTCTGGTCTAGTCAGCTTCTTATGATTCATCCCTCCTCTCTCAGCTTGTTGAGCTCTGGTGGTCTGGGCAGCTGGTTTGTAGAGTTTCAACTGTGTAGTAGCAGATTTCACAGTGTGTTTGATCTCTTCAGAGATGTGGTCAGCATTTCCTTCTTGCAATTTGGCTTGTTGTATTGCTTGAGATAAAGTCATAGGTCTCATCATTTTGACCACATTCTTAATGCTATCTTTGAGTCCTTCAACAAAACACTCCAGATAATAGGTTTCATTGAATGTTCTGTGCTTTTTACTCACAAATGCTTTTAGATGCTCAAACTTCAATCTGTATTCTTCCACTGTGGTTTCTTGGCGCAGCCTGTTAAATTCAGCAGTTAAGCTGACTCCCTCTTCCTCTAAGAACCTATCCAGTACCATATTTGTGAAATTCTCCCACCCCAGCCCTTCAAGCTGCTCAATGTAATCAGTATACCAGTCTTCTACTTTACCTTCTAGATGCATAGATGCAAACTGCACTTTGTCTTGTTCACTCATAGGGTTTAGAGTAAAGTACCTATGGCACCTTCTCAACCAAGTCCTAGGAAATTCCCCATCAAACTTGGGAAATTCTACTCTGGCAGCCCTATTTTCTCCTCCTCTACCCGGGCTGTTCAAACTCCCTATTTCAACACGCATCTGGGGTTGTGTATTGTGTATGTTTTCAGAAAACCGTAAGGGGTTTTCAGAGGAATTACCTTGAGTGTAGGGGGCTTTTCCATGGTCTCCATTGACAGCTCTCACAAGCTCTCCCACCAGTTTACTCAGATCTTCAATCCTTTGATTTGTTTCAGCTCTCCCTTTTGCTATTTCAGCTTGTAAACCGGCTTGCATCTCACTCATTTCTCCTTGGATTTTCTTGTTGAAAGCTAGCTGTTCATCCAGGTAAACCTCCGCATCAGATCTGGTGTTATCGCTTGATCCTGTTCTCACATGGCTTCTAGTCATCATTTAGGGGTGTGATGGCCAGAAACGGTGGCTCTGGATACCAAATGTCACGAACCCTTCCTTTATCTCAATAATCAGCTCCGTTTATGAGAAAGAAAACCTGTAACAATAGAGTTCAGTGAGAAAGTGGTGGCGGCGGATAATGCTCTAGGGTTGGTGAGAAAAGAGAATATTAGCTACACTAAGCTTAACCTAAAGATTACCAGTAATTGCCTGCCATTGTCAGCTGCTCCTTTGTCTTCTTATACTGCCATCACGTGATAGAGGAGCTGGAGTGAAGGTGGAGCCTCCCATGCAGCTGAGGTGTGCCCACGTCTGCCTCTTCCCTTCTCAAAACGACAGCGTTTCGTCTTATTCTTTAATAATAATAAAAGCGTATAAATAATAAAAGCGCGTTCACGCTTTCTCAAGTTGAACGACACCGTTTTATTAACGGATTTAAAAATCCGTTTATTCAGTTATTACAATTTTTTAAAGGTATACATACATACATACTTGATGTTATTTTTCTTATTTTCCGGTCCTTTTTTTCCTTTTTAATTATATTTTTTTCCCTTTTTTGACCGACAATTTCCTTTTTTTTTTTTCTTTCCTTTTTCTTTTTTTTTTTTTTTTTTCTTTTTCCCTTTTTTACCGACAATTTCCTTTTTTTTTTTTTTTTTTTTTCTTATTCCCTTTCCTTTTTCTTTATTATATATATAATATATGGGTTTTTTGCAAAAACCACCCCTGTGTAATCTCGAATTGCTGAAAAACCCCTCGTGTTAAAAATATTAGCACAAAACCCCCTATGAAAAATAGTCAAAGTCAAAAAAGACCCTACGAGCTCGATGTGTTATACACTCGCGCTTTATGCAATTGGGCCTCGTATTTTGGAACGTGAAAGACCTAAATACCCTTTAAATCAATTTTTGAAATTTATAAATTTACCCAAAATATTTTTCATAAGCTCAAAATGAAGTTTTCAGAATTTTCAATTCAATCCCCACTGATTTCAGAAAAGCCCTCTCTCCAAATTGCATAGAACCAAATTGCAATTTTCATAATTTCACAAAACTTCATCATCTTCTTCCCCTCTCCAGATCTGCTCCTCACCAAATAAAAATAAAAAAAAAAAAAAAAAAACAAACAAAAACCAGCAATTCATCTTCATAACCTTCCCATTTGCAAAAGAATAAAAAAGGACCAAAGTTGTTTCCTCCATCTAATCTACCAAATTTTATTAGTATTTCAATTTCTAAACAATTAAAATAAAAAATATAATATTAAAAATAAGAAAAAGAAACAAAGAATGAAAATTCTGGAAAAACTTGGCCGCTCCATCTCCGACAACACCACCATCGTCTTCCCACTCTGAAATTGAATTCCAAAATACAATAAACCAAAAATTTCAATCTCCCTCTATAATCAGATCGAGAAAAAGAAAAAAAAATGGGAAAGATTTGAACTTCTGCAAAACCCAGCAACAACCCAAAAAAAAAATTCCACAAAAATCCGTCGAATATCAACGCAGAAGGCAGGTGGTGATGCGGCGGTGGTGCCGCCGTGGTGGTGGTGATGCGGCGGAAGTGCGGCCGATGCGGCGGTGGTGCGGCCGTGGTTGTGGTGCGGCTGTGGTGCAGCCGTGGTTGTGGTGATGCGGTGGCGGAGGGCTCGATGGAAGAATTGGGTTGCGGGATAAAGAACGATGGCCTGGGTGATAATTTTATTTTTCTTTCTGCATTTTATTTATTTATTGGAACATAAATTATTAAAGAATATAAGGGTTAGTTTAGTCATTTCATGTAAGTCAACTGCTAATTTCCAAATAAGGGCCAGTGTGCTTTGTCAAAAATAATATAGGGGGGTCTATGCTAATATTTTTAACATGAGGGGGTTTTTAGCCATTCAAAATTTCACAAGGGGGTCTATGCAATTAGCTCTATAATATATATATACCCCGTTCATCTCTCCTTTCTACCATCAACTTATCCTGCGCTTTCTGTTCTCCTTCGATTTTTGAATCTCTAACCGTAAAGGTACCTTCTTTCGTTTTTGTTCTTATTTTATTTTTGTTGTTGTTTTATTTTTCTTCGATTTGGTAGTTCAGAATCGAAATCCGATTGGGTTTTTGATGCAAAAATATATATTGTTTATAATTTTGATGTAATCAAATTTTGGGGCTTTACGTTTGAAACGAGATTAGAAGATTTAAGATGCCTTCTCAAATACTCGTGTTGCTAGAAATTATAATTCGCAATTCGATTTACTTTCAGAGATTTGTTTTTGTTTTTTTTTTTTTAATTTATTTTTATTGGAATTAGACTCACAAAATCACCATCCCTTGTTTCTTTGAATTAGACTCACAAAATCATTTAATTTAAATATATAGAAAGAATAAGCTGAACAATTGATGGTCTTCCCGATTTAATTTTCTTTTTCTTTTAAGATTTTATTTTGTGTCATATTTACATACTCTTTATATTATAATACATTGTATGTATATTAACTTTTGATATTTGTTCTAGAATTGCCACAGCAAAGACACATCCACAGAGACAGTATGAATGTTCTAGGAAAATCAATCAGACCTACATTTGAAGAGCTACAAATTGATGAAAATGCCAAAAAAAGTGATGTTGTTCAGTTACAAGTCGTAGAGAAATTAGTAAGCTGTCTTTTTTTTTCGTTAATTGATTTTTTTTTTATAATACAAAATGTAATGGTATTCTCGGCCAATTTGCAGGCGGACAATGATATTCTTGGTGTTTATTATGATTATCTCAAGCAAAAGGACATAAATGCAAGTGAATTATTGAAGTCAAGGCATATGGAAATAGATTATCTTCAATCTATTGTTACCAAAGCCGAAAATGCATTATCTATTGACGGTATCAAAAATCAGGTACGCATGAAAATTCTATTCTTTCTTTTTGGATTAGAGAGAAAAAAAGATTGTTTTTTCCTAAAAAGATTAAATTTTGCAGATATGTGACCTAGAAAATAAGATAAAACATGATGTTCTTGCATTGGAGGTAAGGAAAAAGCTCAAGCGTGAAATCTCTCGACTGAGCCAACGTCGCGAAAAATTATCTTCTTCTTCTTTCTTTGATATCAAAGACGAAGATGGAATCAGGCAGTATCGTGAAGTGAGAGACGAGGCCGAAGATTTTTTAAAGGTATACATACATACATACTTGATGTTATTTTTCGACAAAACTTGTTTGATTGTATCTATAAAACATACATACATTACATATTAGAGCGGATAATGGATTTGCTATCTTGGTTTTGGTTTTGGTGTGTGCAGGTTGTTTCACGCAAGGAGCTTGATATATTTAATGAGAGTTCCATAAAAGCTAAAGCAGCTGTTACGGAATTCAAGAAAAAATGTGATGATGCTGCTGAACAAGTGGAAAAACTCCAAGCCAATTACATAGCTGCCTCTGATGAAAATGCCAAAAAAAGTGATGTTATTCAGTTACAAGTCGTAGAGAAATTAGTAAGCTGTCTTTTTTTTTCGTTAATTGATTTTTTTTTTATAATACAAAATGTAATGGTATTCTCGGCCAATTTGCAGGCGGACAATGATATTCTTGGTGTTTATTATGATTATCTCAAGCAAAAGGACATAAATGCAAGTGAATTATTGAAGTCAAGGCATATGGAAATAGATTATCTTCAATCTATTGTTACCAAAGCCGGAAATGCATTATCTATTGACGGTATCAAAAATCAGGTACGCATGAAAATTCTATTCTTTCTTTTTGGATTAGAGAGAAAAAAAGATTGTTTTTTCCTAAAAAGATTAAATTTTGCAGATATGTGACCTAGAAAATAAGATAAAACATGATGTTCTTGCATTGGAGGTAAGGAAAAAGCTCAAGCGTGAAATCTCTCGACTGAGCCAACGTCGCGAAAAATTATCTTCTTCTTCTTTCTTTGATATCAAAGACGAAGATGGAATCAGGCAGTATCGTGAAGTGAGAGACGAGGCCGAAGATTTTTTAAAGGTATACATACATACATACTTGATGTTATTTTTCTTATTTTCCGGTCCTTTTTTCCTTTTTTTTTTTATTCTTTTTCCCTTTTTTGACCGACAATTTCCTTTTTTTTTTTTCTTTCCTTTTTCTTTTTTTTTTTTTTTTTCTTTTTCCCTTTTTTACCGACAATTTCCTTTTTTTTTTTTTTTTTTTTCTTATTCCCTTTCCTTTTTCTTTATTATATATATAATATATATATACCCCGTTCATCTCTCCTTTCTACCATCAACTTATCCTGCGCTTTCTGTTCTCCTTCGATTTTTGATCTCTAACCGTAAAGGTACCTTCTTTCGTTTTTGTTCTTATTTTATTTTTGTTGTTGTTTTATTTTTCTTCGATTTGGTAGTTCAGAATCGAAATCCGATTGGGTTTTTGATGCAAAAATATATATTGTTTATAATTTTGATGTAATCAAATTTTGGGGCTTTACGTTTGAAACGAGATTAGAAGATTTAAGATGCCTTCTCAAATACTCGTGTTGCTAGAAATTATAATTCGCAATTCGATTTACTTTCAGAGATTTGTTTTTGTTTTTTTTTTTTTAATTTATTTTTATTGGAATTAGACTCACAAAATCACCATCCCTTGTTTCTTTGAATTAGACTCACAAAATCATTTAATTTAAATATATAGAAAGAATAAGCTGAACAATTGATGGTCTTCCCGATTTAATTTTCTTTTTCTTTTAAGATTTTATTTTGTGTCATATTTACATACTCTTTATATTATAATACATTGTATGTATATTAACTTTTGATATTTGTTCTAGAATTGCCACAGCAAAGACACATCCACAGAGACAGTATGAATGTTCTAGGAAAATCAATCAGACCTACATTTGAAGAGCTACAAATTGATGAAAATGCCAAAAAAAGTGATGTTGTTCAGTTACAAGTCGTAGAGAAATTAGTAAGCTGTCTTTTTTTTTCGTTAATTGATTTTTTTTTTATAATACAAAATGTAATGGTATTCTCGGCCAATTTGCAGGCGGACAATGATATTCTTGGTGTTTATTATGATTATCTCAAGCAAAAGGACATAAATGCAAGTGAATTATTGAAGTCAAGGCATATGGAAATAGATTATCTTCAATCTATTGTTACCAAAGCCGGAAATGCATTATCTATTGACGGTATCAAAAATCAGGTACGCATGAAAATTCTATTCTTTCTTTTTGGATTAGAGAGAAAAAAAGATTGTTTTTTCCTAAAAAGATTAAATTTTGCAGATATGTGACCTAGAAAATAAGATAAAACATGATGTTCTTGCATTGGAGGTAAGGAAAAAGCTCAAGCGTGAAATCTCTCGACTGAGCCAACGTCGCGAAAAATTATCTTCTTCTTCTTTCTTTGATATCAAAGACGAAGATGGAATCAGGCAGTATCGTGAAGTGAGAGACGAGGCCGAAGATTTTTTAAAGGTATACATACATACATACTTGATGTTATTTTTCGACAAAACTTGTTTGATTGTATCTATAAAACATACATACATTACATATTAGAGCGGATAATGGATTTGCTATCTTGGTTTTGGTTTTGGTGTGTGCAGGTTGTTTCACGCAAGGAGCTTGATATATTTAATGAGAGTTCCATAAAAGCTAAAGCAGCTGTTACGGAATTCAAGAAAAAATATGATGATGCTGCTGAACAAGTGGAAAAACTCCAAGCCAATTACATAGCTGCCTCTGATGTTTGCATAGAAGCAATTGCTATCAAGGATAATATGAAAAAAAAAATATTGTGACAAGGTAATCTCTCAATTAATACACCCTAGCCAACTTGTATTTCTAACGTATTTTTAATTATGATTATGTGTGTGTATAAATATTCGAGGTACTAACTAGATGCAATAGTAATACAATTATTTATCCTACAAATGAGTTGCATTTTCTTGATGCTCCAGAATCAATGATGATCCTGATTATTTTTTTTTGAAAAATTTGTGTTGGTTAGTAGGAAAGGAAAACATATATGTCATATTTACTGTTCATGGTATATAATCGTTAAAGTGAAACGGGAAATAAACTATGTATAGAATGTTCTATGCAACTTAATGGTCCTCCATAAAAATACAAAGGAGCAATATAGAACAATACCAGAAGGCACATTTGAAGCTCTTGTTTTATAATTTTTGATCTCGCAGCATGTGAAATGTGCAATACATTACTTGATCAGCAATCTGACCTCATTTTAATTTTTTTATTAATTAAGTGATCAACATTATTAGGAGCGTGGGTGTTTTTCTTGCTAATTAATAATTCTTTTTTTTTTTTTTGTTCCTTGTTAATTTGTCATAGTTTTTATTCATTATTATGGGTATGTGAGTACCTTAATTGAATGACTGAATTTGCAGATTGCATTGCTTGGCCACTGCTTGTCGGATGCATATGCATGAGGGTTTTTCTTAATTCAATTATACCTCAAGGGTTTTGGTACTTATCTCGGCAACCAAACGAGTCCTTATTGGACTCATCTTTGGATTTATTGTTTGTTTGTTGACGTTATAGTTGAATTCATCATTTCAAATAATTAATTACAATTATTTTTTTTGTTTTGTTTTAAGACATTCATCACCCGATTTGAGTATTTAAATTTATACTTTTTTAAAGCTTTTGAAGAATTCATCAAGTTAATTAGTGAAAATTTTGATTCTATTATTTAATCACCTTTTAAATTCATCAAACATTTTGACAAGTTTACACATATTTTGTATAGTCAATTTATTTTTCATAATTGATTTTAATAAATAAAAATATACAAGAAAAAAATAAATTATAAACAATTATATGAATACTTGATCTAGTGATAAAAATATTTTTTGCAATTAATTACTTGTCTTTTTAATCACACGCTATACTATATTTAGAGATACATATTTTGTTAATTTGAAACTCGACACAACTCAAAAGCTAGGAGAAAAGGGGACGATTGAGTTGAATAAATAATAATGAAGAAAGATAAGAAAATGATGTTTAGTACTTTAGTTTTGTGAGAAATAAGGGAAAAAAAAAAAAAAAAAAAAATACCAAATTTGCCCCTCTTGATACCCATAAAACCGGTTGTAAGTCATATATTTAGTCAAAAAGTGTAGTAGGGTGCAAAGTGCTAAGCATACTGTAATTGGAGGTGCAAAGTGCTATTTTTTCAATTTAAGGATGCAAAGTGCCAATAGCATCTAATTTAAGGGTGCAAAGTGTCAATTACCCAATATTTAATGATGTAAATGATTTTATCTAATATTTGAAAATGATACTATCTTAAATATTAGTTTTATTCACAATACGAAAATAAAATAGTTCTAAGAGTAAAAAGCAGTTTGCTCATAAACTAAGGATCGTTTTGCACTTTTCTCCTCAAACAAAAAATCTTTACACAAACTTACCTAAATTCGTTAATTTGTTGCACGATGTATCCTAAACTCATTTTTTTCGGCAATTTTGTATTAATTATGGGATGCGATAAATGTCGTTCGAGCTTTAATAATATTGTTACGACTTCAAACGTGATTTTGTTCATTTTTAATTCCAAATTTTGCAAAAAACGAAAAATAGAATTTGTAGTATTTTGAATTAGTTTTCTAATCCAACTTGAACCACCAAAATTGGATGTCGAACGAGAAAGATATACATGAATCAATGGATACTGCCTACAACTTTGATGTATTGAGGTATCTAAAATTCAAAATGTGACTCATTCATGCATAACTTTGTCACACAACATCCAATCTAGTGGATTTAAGTTGGATTAGAAATCTAACTCAAATGACTACAATTTTCGTGTTTCGAATTTTGCCAAAATCAAAATAAAAATATGTCAAAATTATCAAGTTCAAAGTCAAAACAACATTAGTAAAAGTGAAACTACATTTAACATTTCAGATTAGTTATTCCTTTGCAATAGAACTCGTTTCTTAAAAGTTGATTCTATTTTTATTTTATTTTTTGATAAAATAGGAATAATAAACCAATTGGTGTTCATATTATGAGTGGAAAACGGCATGATCAGATCGGAATAATCACTTTCGAAGTGAAAAACTATAAAAAATAAAAAAATCAGAAATTCAAAAATTTGAATTAACAAAATAAACTTTTTTCCAAAATCGGAAATATTTATATAAGAAACAACAAACACCCTCCTATTTTTAAGGTGAATGGCCAAACTTTTAGTGTTAAATTTGAGTGTGCGATAAATCTTTTACGGAAATGACGATGCTACACGAGTTAATATAACTAGGCACCCTAATTGATAATATTCCCACTTCGGGTTCAGTTATAGCCTGTAGGGTTTTAGAAATATAATTATAAAAAATGAATTAAAAATTCACTTGTCAAGAAGAGAGACTACCAGGTGAAAATTATCGGATGTAGCATCACATGCCCTTGTATCTCACATTATGTCTGATACAATCCCTCATTTTTTCTAGGTTTCACTCTCTAAAGAACCCTCTCTCTCTTGGATTTCTCTTTCCCTGTCCGATTTTTTAAAGAAATAAAACCTACAAAATTTCTATTATTCTCGAAGTTTTAGGGAAATTCGTTGAATAACTCTCGTATGAGCACATTAGAAGGATAAACTTTTGGTCTGAGGGGCCGGATTTTGATCTTAGATTTATTTTTTCCTCGATTACAGGACGAACTTTTGGGTAAACTGAAATATTTTTGGGGGTACTTTAATCCAATGAACTTAGAAGGTTAAGGATACGATTTTAAATAAAAATGATGTGTATTTTCAAGGTTCTAAATATCGGTTATCGGGTCTAAGGCGGTTTGGGACAGCCACACGATATATCGGTGCGGCGGTGATTAATCGGGGATATATCGGAAATAAATCGGTTTTTTGATTTAGTGTAATATATTTCTAAATTTTATTTATAAATACTTAAAACATATAAAACAAAATTGAACTTGATTCTCTCTCTTCGTTTATATATTCTAATCACATAACAAAAGTTTAACATTAATAGTGAGATAGAGGTGCCGCCGCAGTGTCTGGATTGTTTTGTATTTTTGTTTTTTTAGGTCAAGTTTTTCTTATGGGGTCGCTGAGTTTGGGTTTGTTGAATGAGATAACGCGTTAGAACTAATAATAATAATAATAATAATAATAATAATAAT